ATCGTCAAGAGCTTCAAGCCTTGCACTTATTGTGGGATTAACATTTCATCTAATATTAAACGTCATTGGGCTTTATGCCATGCCAAGGACCTCTGCAAAGAAATGGGTGTTGAAAATGATAAGATCAACCCAGTTTCTCCCAAACTTTTCATGCAGCACCTAGACAAGGTTAACCATCTCTTCAACAGTCTGAATAACCACAATTACAAACTCATTCCTGCATGTAAATTCTTCGAAATAATGTAAGCAATGCAAAAATTTTGTAAATATTACTTGCTATCAATTTAAATCTCATCAAGAAAAGTATGAAGCTCTGTTGTTTTGTTTCATTATTGTTGATGAAGCCTCAGCCATCAGAATCATATCTCGTGTTTCAGGAATATTCCTTTGCTGAAATTGGATGCTTCAAGCGAAGAAAAAAACAGGATTTTTGAGACATTTTTATCAGAAGGTCGATCTGCATTCAAGAAGTACAATGTCTTGTACATGAAAGGGATTTCAGTACCCAAAAGTTATGAGGACCTGCTGTTGCCGAAGAAAATCACTAATTACTCTTGTGTGAATTGGAATGACACTCCTCCTGCCACTAATAATTTCTCATTGGAATCGTACCCACTTTCAGAGGTAGAAGCCAAAGTTCATGCCAAAGACATTGAGGACTCGCTCCACAATCTTGTTCTGGGTTGGGAAAAATAAGCTTTTTATCAACTTGATGCAAAAGTCTCAGCAAATAATATCCAATGGCTCAGTTTCTGCTTATGCAGTGTATGTATTTTATTTTGTTTATCTTTCCTGACTCAATTTTTGTTAAGTCATCATTTTTTGTAAAAATAAAAATTATGACCGGTTTTTGAATAAAAGCCTATGCTAATATTTTTACCAGTCAATTTTACCTCAGACCATGATTATTTTGAATTACGACCCTGGATTCCGGTGTGAGATTCATTTAATTTAATTCTCATAGGGTACAAAGAAGCTTCAAGATTATTTTTCATACCCTGTTCCCCAGCAGACTGCAGTGCGGGGTGCGGACGCGGACCGACACGACCACTCCTGACACTGGCTTCTTGCTGCTCTTATCTGTGACGCGTCAAATTTACTTCACTTATTCTGAGATGGTTTGAACATCAAACTCATCATCAGTCGACATCGATGGTCATTTGCTGTGCAGATTTACTGATTTTTAGTGCACAGTGGAGAACATTAGATCTAACTTCAATTTTCAACTTTAACCTAACAGTTCGTTTCCACTTCACTTCTTACATTCGGGGAACGCTACAATTCCTATTATTATCCTTTCATGACGGTGATTTACGTTCACTATTGTCTTCTAATGCTGCTTCTTATTTGCAGAAAGATGCAGTCCAACACAGTACTATGAACCGTCTGTTGTTCAATGCAAAGTTTTGGAAGAATGCATTTACTCTCTCTGAAGCCGGATCTAGAAGTACTGCTTCCCGGGCATGATCTGTATTTGTTCGATAAGGACTCTTGGAGTTGCATGAGAGGGTTGCTGAAACTCCTTGCTGATAATCTTTTTGCTAATGGACTTGCTGATCGTTACCTGGTGTCGAACCAAAATGAAGTCAGATTTACATGGACTTTGCACCTAAGTACTCCACATTATTCTCCTTCAGACAACATTGTGTTCCATTGGTGTGTTTGGAGAGAAGCTGCTGAAGCCAATCCATGACATTTGACAAATATATTGGTTTCTTTGTGTGTTTATGATGATTGGTTAAATGTGTTTTTTTTTAAAGCTTTATCTTTTATTTAGTTGTGTCTTCCTTTACAATTTATGTTTAGGTGCCTCGTACCATCAGGATTCAAGCAATTGCTGGAATCATATGCCGCTTGTAAAAATCTGCACATGGGGAATGTGTGTGGCATTCCTCTAGGAATGTATGACAAAGATTACCAAAGCTTTGCAGATGTCACAAAGATTATTTTGGTAAGATGTTTCACTTATGTCTTACCAGTTTCTGGTAATTGTGTAGGATTTCACATAATCAGTCTGGTCTTGTTTAAGCAGGTCATGACACTCCCAACAGATGTGCAACTTTATTCGTCTATTTGCACCACCCTCTCTAGTGCCTCTGCTGAGTGCAGCGAGAGAGTTTGCAGACTGCCAACATCACGTCAAGGCCACTTTCTGTATGTGTGAGCTGGTTTAACTTTTGCTTTGATTACCCACAAAAGCAATTATTTTAAGATCAATTTTAAATAGTTACCTTATTAAAATTATGACAGACCTAGTTCTTTTCTGGGGGCAAAGGTTTTGAAATAAGTCCCTTTTCAACATGTGGAGTCCTGGTTTTCATTGAGATTTGCTGGAACTTTATAGAAATTCAAATTTCTGTTGTCAGAATCAATTGTGTTCTGTCTGTTCTTTTCTCAGGAACGAATCAGAATCTCAGAATCTCATTTTGCCATGTGGATCACAGGAAAACTGCCAAACAAGAGCTGGTCCTTTCAGTAATACATGCTCACAATGTGAAGAAATATGCTCATTAAGTGATGTTTTACCCACTTTTCCACTTGCAGTTGCTGATGTAAGAATAGAGCTGATTTTAGATATATGCTTTTTCAATGTCATTCCCCCCAATTATCCCAAATAATATTCTTTCCCTTTTTTTCCATGCAGGTCTACAAAGATAATTTTAGTGGGGTGAAAACAGAACCAGCTGCAGATGAAAATGGAGAAGAAAACATAGGAGACAAATTTTCTTATCATGTAGTGCAAGGCACCGAATCAATACTTGAAACAACTGTTAAGAAACAGCTGCTATTGGGAAATCTGCTTCATATTGTGAAGACCTATGCTGCCCTGAGTCTTTCAGAGTGCTCTGATTATGCTGGTTTTCACCCCTTCCCACCACACAAAGTCAAAAGGACAAAGATTATTCTTGAATGCCCTGGATGTAATATTCCAAGTTCATGCACTTCCTCTTCTGCATTTGTGAGGTTGCTTCGTCATGTGAAAAGAAGGCATCCTATGGACTGTGATGTGCTATTGGCTGACATTGTGGAACGTTATGCTCCCCTCATTAAGTGCATGAAAAGGAAGGTAGCAAAAAGTAAAGTTCAGTGCCTAAAAAGAACAAAAAATGAAATTTAGTCTATCATCCCCTCAAATTGATCCAAATTGGCAACCCCAGGTCATAGATTTTGTCCATAATTATCAGTGTTTTCTTTTTGTTGATTGTACATGATGCCATCTTGTGAGACATTCTGTTCGCCTGGTTCTGCTTCTCTAAATTTTGGTTAATTGTTTAATCTTCTATTGCTTTGTTTTGATTGACGGGCTGATTATGTGGCCAGTTTCCACCAAAGGGTTAGATGAATTGTATGATAAAGTGCAAACGTTATCCAAAATCAAACTAGATTGGGGGCTTTTTTTATAATTTTGCAATTTTTTGTGTTGGATTTATTTTATGTTGTATAATATGTCAATTTTCACTTGTTCCTGTTCATGTTATGTGCATGGAAATGACACTTTTCTAATAGACTCTCCGAATGCTCTGTTTATTTTTTATGTGTTAAGTTGCAGTTGCCTCCGATGTGATCATTGAAGTTGGCGTCCTCATAGCCAGGAATTGTCTTGAGAAATTGTATGATAAAATGCAGGTGTTGTGTTGAATCAAGTATGTTGAGGTTTTTCTTTGTCTTGTTCTAATTTGTGTTTTAGATGAATTTTATGTTGTATAATATGGTTGTACTAACTTGTTCCTGCTCATTTGATGTGCATGGAAAAGTGCCTTTGGTAAAGGTCTCTCTAGATGTTGTATCTATATGAAGTAGTTTACTCCTCCGATGTAATCATTCTAGTTGATATTATGATATAATTTTGCGAGGCAGGAATCGTCTTGACATATTGTCTGTTTCAATGCAGATAGATGCTGTGTTGAATCAGATCTTAGGTTTTTTGTGTTGTGTTCTAGTTTATGTTTACTTGTTCCTGCTCATTTAATGTGCATGGAAAAGTCACTTTGATAATGAACTCTCCAGACAGCTTATCATTGTCATATATATTTTATTGCTTACTACTTCTGTTGTGAGGTTTTTCATAATGACAATGCAAATGCTGTCATTTTGTGCTGTCTATCTAGAGGTAACATTTCATTATGGCTGGCTGATAGCTTGATACCTTTAGTTTTTTTGTGAGAAGGCTTCAGAGTATACAACTGAAATTTTCCTGTGAATTTCTATAAGTAAGGAACTTCTGCGATTTAGGGGCCCCTTCTGTGAAGTTCATGTTATATAGCAATCTTTGGAAAGCAAACAAACTGCCACTAGATTAACTAAATGCTACAAAAGGAAAATGTGTAGAGGAATTTTTAAGGCATTAGGTTTTTCAACACCCACGAGTTCGTATATTTATAAAATTTCAGTGATGGCAAAGAAATTGCGAAATACTCTCGAACAGGCTTATTGTAAGAGAAGAAAAAGTGACCTCAAAAGAAGGAGATGTTGTCAATATGTCAAAAGTATATAATAGATTGCCACAAGATATAAAGTATAAAAAAGCCAAGGTCTTTGAAAAAGAGCTTAAGAAGTGGCTTATAGAAAGAGAGTTCTATAAAAAAGAAGAATTTTGGAAGTGGGATGATAAAATGTCAAGTTCGTGAGCAGGTCTTCTTTGTCAAGTTAAATTGAATTGTATTGTGGTAAACCGACATGGTCCTGGTGTTTTTGTAAACATGATATATGACCCAATAAAAGTAATAATAATAAAGCATAAAATGCTTATCCAAAATTGTTGAGATTATTGCAAGTCCACTTATCGCTGCCCCTACTCTAGAATCTCTGAAATAACTCCGAGCTTTCAGGATAATATATCTGACTTTATAAACAGAAAACATTGGTTAACAATACAACAGCCGTTTTCAGATGTTTAGCAGTACATTCTGCGCAGTTTCCTGTCAAGCTGCTCCCAGCATCCTGGAAACCTGTGAAGCCCAACGTTACATACCAAATTGAGTACCAAAACTCTTTCATTTTTAGATTAATGTATCAATTGTTTGAAGAAGTTCATCATGTTTTCTAAAATGACTTAAATTTGTGGTCTGGAGAATCATGCAGCAAAACGACAATTTCCCCTTCATGATGGCACATGAGCGGTCCCCTAATTGCTCTTTCCCTTTCGCATGTTCCTAAACCATGTTGGTTTTGAGAATAGAGAATTCTCAGACATCCAATATTTGTGTTCCAATCTAAGAAGGGCAGTCACATTGTTTGTAATTGCAAGCCTTCTGAGTAATATGGAAACACGACCAAAAGAAAATTTTAAATTGCTTTTTCAGTGAAAGTGATAAGGCTGCTATAAATTGTTGTTTGTATTTAATATGTTAATTTCACTGTATGAAGTGGGAAATTTTGGCACTCATATCACACATAACATTGTCAAAGAGTCGGATTCAAAAGTTGACACTCAATCTCATTTTTTAAGTTTCATGTTTAATCATAGTGTTTCTTGACACACAATATCATAGTGTTTTTTGACACACAATAACTAAGTAAAAAGGATGCAATCTTATTGTTTTGACACACTGAAACAATTAAGTACAAAAGGAGGCAATTTCATTGCTTTTTGGCATACACAAACAATATAGTAAAAAAGAAGGCACCTTATAATTAAGATTACATGAGACGACTGACGGCATCATCATACACCCAGTAGGTGTTTGTCAATAGCTGAAGGGCCTGTTCAATATCACCACACTTCATTGACAGGTCCTCAAGTTTCTGGTCAAATGGTGGATACGAGTAAACACCTGAAGCAAAATAAGGATGTAATGCATGATTTGTAACACAAACAGTCAGAAAAAGACCAAAACCTACCCTGGGCATGAGTTTTGACCCACATTAAGACGGTACGGTCATACATCTCGGGGTCATTTGACAGCATTCTTGCTGCGTCGGTGTTTAATGGGCTTTCTGGGTTTGGTTCAGCAAGCAGACGTTGAACCATGACACAGACATGTTTCAAGGGAATAGATGGCTTCCTTTAACAAAATATAACATTGTAATTACACAATGACTTCTCAGAAAATGTCAGGATTTCCGTTCTAAATCCTTACCATGTTTCAGCCAGTCGATCCATGCATACCTTTCCCCGTGGCCCAACATTAGGGTGAAATACCCTGGTAGTGAAAACAACCTGTAATAACAAGAGGCACTTGATTAGAATTAACATTGAGTTAGGCAAGTCCAAAGAAAAAAAAAGGTCATAGGATTCTTTGGCTTTACCTTTGGGGCCTCAAAAGGGTAATCTTGAGGCAGTACAAGCTTCAGGTGGAATATGCCAGAAGAAAACGGACCGTCTGGCCCTTGAATCGCCACCTCAATGTTCTTCATGTCTGCTGAATTAATGAGGAATATGCCATCCGTGTTCTAAATCACAAAAGACAGAAAATAAATTAATTGGTGCAAACCCTCTTTTGTCTGCAGTGCCAAGCACCAAATTAATGTAACCCATATCAAAGTTTTTGTCATTTACTAGTTCCTCTTAGTTCCTGCTCATTATTAGAGGTTCAGTTCTTACAGGTTGAGGCACGCCAAAATGTTCTGAGCTGTCAGAAATACTATGCAAATCAGTTAAAATTATAGAATTTTTAATTGAAAAGAAATAGTAGCTTTTGTGCCCCAAGGGAAGCAGCAAGACAAAACGATTACATAATGAACTGGGACTGATATCAGAGGATTAGATTTTGACGTCTAAATGCCATTCTTGGGCCATACGACTTCTTGACCTGCTTGTTCTCGTTGGTATGCTATCCAAAAACATTGGAAAACACTGGGGCAGATAGCAAAGGAACAAGAAACCTGGTTGCCTTACAATGCGTGTCCGCCCATGCCCGACGTCCCAAGATTGGCATTTTTCTTGAGAATAGTTCGCATGTGACTGTTAAAAATGGTAAAGCATAGTAATTTACATCGCCTGTTACATTTGGTTCAAATAGTGCCAGTAATTGGAGGACGGACATGGCCAGGCATTCATTGAAAGGCCGGCTCAGAGGCGTGGCGAGGCCGGATGCGCAATGAGGTTATGATAGATTAGAAACACGTATTTGGTTTCAAATCTAATATTCCCTAAAGATATCAAAATATTAGTACGAACCTCCGCAAGTTTGCCGATATCTTTCATGACTACCAGTGGATTCCGAAGGGTCATTGTGATGTTCGACGAGACAAGATCTGAATTGTATGGCTTCAGTATGGGACATGCACAGGGGGGCTGTTCCGGATGGAGCACGGAGGATGGAGCGAAGAGAAGCGGAGTGGGAATAGGCGTCTATTCGCTGCGCGCTTCCCATTCCGTTCCGCGCGAATCCACTTCCGCTTTCCTCTCCGCTCCACTTCACTTCGCTCTATTTTCCGGAAGGTCGCGTCTCGCGCCACGGTCACCGGAAGCCATATAATAGGCCGATCGAGGGGGGGGGGGGGGTCGCCCTTCCCTGAAGGCAGCGGAGCCGACTGAATGGTAGGCAAACAGTCGCACATTAACCCTTTAGGTAGGCAACTTTCGCGACATCACCCCACCCCCCCTGAACCCGTCCCTGGATCCGCCCTTGATCCGAACTTGCCTATGTGGCAGTCGGCGGGTGAACGGGTGGCAAAAAAGGGAAAGACAAAGACACTGGGGCAGCCCTGGTGACCAGATCGCGGCCGCGGAAATGGGGCGCTGGTCCACCGGCCAGATAGTGACAACGGCACAGCTACCCTCGACGCTGAGAGCCGAACTGTTAGAGCCAGAGATCCCGAACTAAAACTAGTTTCCAACCCAGCCTGCGCCTGATTTAAAATACACAAACAAAATTATTTTCAGTTTGAGTTAATGACCACGCACCGTTCGCAGTGTCCTGGGAAACCGTTCGCAGTGTCCTGGGAAACTGGCAGTGCCTTGAGGAACTGGCATTTCCCTGGGACCTGCGGGACTTTCCTTCCCAATGAGCGGTACGTTTCGTAGTGCCTGTTATCTCTTATGAAACTGACCTACCGATAAGGATCTCCATTACAATGTATTCCCGTGTGTCTGCATGGGCACCTTGCTCATAAAGGCCAAGACTCAGTGACTTCTATGTGATTAGCCATGACGGCTTGTCTCCAGTTTTACACTTCACTGAGTGTTGAACATAATGGCAAAATAATATGGAATTTAATTGCGACATGTGGAATATTGTGTGGAACTAACAAGCGATTTCAAGATGTATGTGTTGGAGAACAAAGATCCACTGAACTCGTCACTTTCGACGACAAACTGAAGTATTAGAAAAATGTTGGGCAAGGCAAATTTTGCAAGCATTAAGTAAGAAAATTTAGATTTCAAAGATATTTATTACCTTTTTCCGTCAACTCATTGAACCACAATGTTACAAAATTGGCTGGATTACCAAAGGCTGCTTTAATTAATCAAGAGGGATAAACATTTGCGATGTTGAATCATCATAAAGCCAGTATGTGGTTTCAGCCTTTTCAATTGTCAAACAGGTTTTAATCCTATATCTTTTAAAAAAAAATGCAGAAAGAATAATCTTTGGTGATTCTGCAAGATTAGGAACCTGGCAGCACATTTTTGGTCTAATATTCTGTACATGCCCATAAAATAACATCAAATGTAAAAGGGACCTAAACTACCACTTCATCATATTCTAAATCCAAGGCCTCTTGGATTACAGAGTCAACACTGAATGACGCTGAGTGTAAGAAGGTCATTATCTGTTCATCTGATGGCAGAGGGTATTGCAACAATTGATTTGTAAGAGCAATGATATTCTCGTCATTGCTGATGGAGGAGCAGCTTCGATGCCTATTTGGAATAAGCCCTTGATTAAGGCTGTTTAAGTCATCCACAGTGGCATCTTCAATCTCAACAAAAACATCTTGAAACAAAAAGAATCATGCAATCACAATTAATTGGTGGGGGTGGAAACCCCAAAATTTTTGTTTCCTGGGTGGCTTTTGGTTTGGGTGGGTTTCATTTTGAACGGGGTCGGCCACCCGGGTAATTTTCATTTTTTTGTTTTTTTGGGGGTTTCACTATTGAAACCCAAAAAAAAATTAAAAAACCCAAAAATCATTTTTCTTAACACCCTGCAAAAAACAATCCTGGGGGGGGGGGGGAACGCCCCAAACCGTTAAAAGGCCGGCCCTGTTTGGGGTTATTTTAATAAGAATTTTAATAAGGGGGGGGGGCCCCCCCCCAAAAAAGGGGAACCAGAAAAGGCCCCTTCCGGGATAGCGCCCGGCCCAATTGGAGAACCTTGTTGGCAAAACCAGATTGCCCGGGGGAGCAAGGGGGGCCAAACCACCAATGATATTAAAAACCAAAAAAATGAAAACCTGGGGAAATGAAGGGGGAAAATTTTGACCTTCCCACTTTTTTTTTTCCTTAAAAAAAAAAAATCCCCTTTTTGGAAAAAAAAACAAAAGACCCCAAAAAAAAAAATTTAAAAAATTGTTAAACTTTCCTTTTAAAAACTGGAAAAACAGGAAAAAAATTAAAACCAAAAAAGGGAAGTTTTTTTGCCAAAAAAAAAAAAATAAAAGGAAAAGGCCCAAGTCTCACACCCACCGATACATAATGAAAAAAACACCCTTGAACTACCACGTCAAAGACCCTTCTGAATGCGTTCATGATTGCGTCTTCAAAATCACATATTACTTGAGTGAAATTCCAATGGCCCAAGCGAATCCGTAAGTGCACAAGCACAGAGACATATGCGGCCTCTGTCTTTCTCTCCATGAGGCACCACAAAAGAGGAATCACCTGAATAAGATCATTTCTCAAGAATGTTACTTTAAAGAACAGAAGAATTGTAAATGAGGCAGGACTTATTAAAATTACTCACTGTGTGGCCATACACACAAACAATAGTGAAGACCTGATAAAGTTCCAGAAACCAGAAGATAGACTTCACTTATGAAACACGTTAATTATTCAAGTAAGGCAACAAGACAGATATAAAAAGTACACCTCTCACCTGATAGCAGTTGTCAATTGATGGGGAAATGTAAAAAGTGCCATCTGCAAACATTACTGGAACTTCTCTCAAATGTTGTAGATTCCTTTCGCTGCAGTAAATAACACTATGAGACCCATCCAGTGAATCCACAGACCCACTGTAGATGAAATCTTGCAAGTCCGTTGTTCTTGTGAGATGCGCCCAGGCAGGATTTTGGTGGATTGCAGTCAACTCCCGTAAATTTGATGGAATGCGAGGAAAAACTCCATTTCTTGACCTCTGCATTGATGAACGCAAACCTCGGTAGGTGAGACGTGAACGAATTTGACGGTTAGCATTTCTACAGACAAAACATTAAAAATGTGAAAAATTTCAAAACCTTATGATCAAGAGTTTTTAAAAGTAAAGGGCATCAAGGGATATGACTGACCTGCTTCTTTCCTGACGAATGATTTCAGAGAATGAAATGTGAGTCATGGATCTAGCTTGATTTACAATGTTCGCTCTTAAACCTCGAGTGAGGGCCCGCAACGGATCTGGGGCGTGGTTGTGCAGTTGGGTCTGCTCCAATGCACTTCCATAACGCCATTTAGCTCGCCCATGGCAAGTTGATGTAGCACAAATGAAGTATACTGTTGAGGGCGAGTTATAGCTGTAATGGTAATAGTATCCATCACCACTACAGTTAGGAATCAAAAGAAAAAAAAACATTAAATGTGATAAACTGTGCATGAACGTTGACAAAAATTAAACAAAAATTTTAATAGTTAAAAAAAGATTTTGCCTCCTCCTAGGGATGATTTTTTTGATGAATATATTTTGTGTTTTAAATGGTCGCCCCAACCTAAGAAGGCAAAAACCTGGCTTTTTTTTAAAAAAAACGCCAAAAAATTTCCCCAACCCCCGGGCCCCCCCATGATTGGTGGGCAAAAGAAGAGGAAAAAGGGAAGATCTTTTTTTGTGGCCTCCCCTTTACGTAGGGCCCCGGGGGGAACCAAGGGTTTTCTGTGGGGCCGGAATTTAAAATATTTTCCCTGGGAAATAGACGGGGGCTGGGCCATTTTCAGATAGAAGGGGGGGGGGGGAGTGCCCTCTTGATAGAGGGATCGGCCCGCGAAGGCAAATTTTAAAAGGTGCTTTGGGGGGTCTTTGCCGAGCGGGGGACCCACGGCCCGGCCCGCTGATGGCGGGAAGAAGAGGAAGAAAATACCTTCTCGAACATGGCGGCCGGCCCCTCATTGGTCCTAGCAGCCGACGGCGGCCGGCCGCCATGCGGCAGAGACCAGGTAGCGGATGTTTTCTTCTGATGTGGAGAGGCTGTACATCCGGTTTTCATCGTGTCATTTGTTCTGTTATTGTTATAGGTCCGAATCCGTAGTTGACTTTGTCTGTAGGTTAGGCTGCAATTCACGCAATTCACAATAAAATTTTATCGGTAAGATCGCTAGAGAGCATAGAATGATTATAAGTGACTCAGAACATCTTCAATTACAATCTTGCATCGTCCCCTACTGTTTTTGGTTGTAGTAGGGCCTTGGTGCCTTGTTTGCTGTTTGCCCTGCACGCTAGACGTAATGCTTCGACTCTATTTTTTTTTGTCAGAAGAATGGAGTTCCCACCACTGTTAAAAATTCAAGGCGCTCAAACTGGTAGTTCACTTTACCACCTGAACGATGGATTCTTCTACACACGATCCAGGCAAAATGGTAGTACTGTCTATTTCCGTTGCTCTAAATGGAGAGGCGGCTGTCAAGTAACAGGAATCCTAAGGTCAGGATGTTTTGAGAATTCACTTCTCCATAATCATCCACCAGATCCATTTTATGTTGCTTTAAAATTGGATCGCCAAAGGCTTGTGAATGAGGCCTCTAATTTGGATCATGCTACATTAGGAGACGTCTTCATGAACACAAGGTTTTTAAATGCAATAACTACACATCATTCAAAACATGCCAACATTCGGAAGGTTCATTTATTTCTTGTTTGATTGCAGAGTTTTGTTTCCAGATGTTTTAACACCACACAGCCTGCAACCTGCTATGGCGCGCATGAGGTTAAATGCTTTGCCCGTAAAGCCGACCACTTTGCAAGATCTTGATGCTGTTCTAAGAGATGACAGATATAGATGCATTAGTGCTACAAGTGGATTTGATGATTCAGTCTACTGTGGATCCACCTTGGCACCTGATAATAGTCTTGTGGTTCTCCTTTTATCACGAGATTGCAAGGAGTTTATAAGATTGGCTACCATTTTATTTGGCTTCAGCACACCGTTTGTGATGCAAGGATCTCCGCACCAATATGTGGTAAGATTCCTCTTATCCGTTAACATTCTATAACGTGCCTTTTCCTATCAAAATTTATTTACAACGTTTCCGACTTTTAGATCCATGTGATATGTACTATGTGGGATAACACGGTATGTAATGCAAGATTCAATAACTGCATTGACAGATTGAAAAATTTCATGGTGAATATTGAATTTAGAAAACTAATTTATTTTGATTCTTTATAGTTTGTAATTCTGGCATGGTTTATAATTGAGAGATTTAGTGAGCAGAGTTTTATAGCTGCTTTCTCTTACCTAAAACAAATTCTTGGGAGGACACATTTCAAAACCATTATGAGTCAGCCTGGCAGCCTGGAGAGTACTGCTTACAGAATGGTTTTTTCACCAGTTGCTGTGACATTTGGTTTGCAAGACTTTGTGCAAGTAAGTAAATATTATGATCTACCACAGCAAATGATCAGTTGTGGTGTTGAGTGTACTCAATGAGACCTTCTTTACAGACTGTTTCCAACTTCGTCCAAGCTGAGATACCAATTCATGATTCACATTTGATTGACCTTGCATGTCTAGTGTGTGCACTGCCTATTTTGCCCAGTGAATTTTTGCACATTGGTTTAACTGTTGTCAGAGAAGAAGTAAGGAGCTTTCTAGGTGTACAAAACCATGCTAACATCTTACTTCGTCATGTTGAATCATCTTGGATGAGTGTTTCAAACGACTTTTCTGTCAGTGGTGATCATTTCCGCACGAGCAACATCAAGTAATTTGTCATTTGTAGTACACAACATTTTATTCTAGGTCTTTGCAGGCATAACATTGATATTCTTTTCTCTCTTGCAGGGAAACTGTTCAGATGAAAGTGGATCGACTTTTGGACACTCACAAAAATAACATTTATAATTTAATTGGTAAGTACTGTTCACACAGAGTTCAGTGCAGTTGTATTGAGGTGTGGGTGAAAATGAAGAATTCTTAAAACTCTCTGAGATTTTTCAGTCTTGAAGTTATAATGGCACTTATTGTGGAAGGATTGCATACCATGCTTAGATTCCCTCATCCAGCCACAGTCGGCTTACTTGTCTAAATGTAGTTAGTTTGTTCATGAAAGTCTGGCTCCCTGAGGTATTAAGGTGGTACTACAATTAAGCCACAAGTCTTGTGATAATTAAAATCTTAACGGTATTGGTTGAGGATTGGGAAGGTAAGATAGTGAGTAGGTCTAGAAGAACAAAAAAAATTTCTGTTTGTACTTGAGAATTAGCACTACCAAAGAATGAAGAGAGCTGTCTTAAATCTGTTAATTATTAGCAGAGCAAGATTTAGAGAAGCAAGAACACAGAGGGTCAATACCTTAAGTTAGAAATAATAAGGCAAATTTGTAGTCCCTTCAAATACTTGAGTTGGTGGTTTCTGCGATGACAATTATCTTTCAAACAGATAAATTTGGTGTCTTCACTTCTTTAAATCTTGTTCTACTCTTTATTCTCAACAGATTTAAGAAAGCTCCTTCCATTCCTTGAAAACGCCCAATGAAAAGTATACAACTAACAGTTGTTTCTTACAGTTATTCACTTCCTTACTTTCTGAATACTCACCAATGCAATTTTTGGGCTTCATTGTCTCCATGTATTTGAGTGAGAATTTTATGAGCAGTTACTGTAGTCCAAGCTCATTGCCATAGCACCTTAAGTGGGCAGTCTCAAAAGAAATGTAGTTTCTAAAATCAAGTGATTTCAGTTGCAAACATAATTGTGTTCTGAGTATTTCTCACAGCTATTTTTAAACATTTTGTTGTATTTGTAAGAACAATCATCAGAGATTAATTGCTGTTATTTCTCAGCACCAAAACTTTGTTTCTCTAGGATGAACTACCCCTGATAGTCAATAGTTATGATTTGATTCTGTAATGTCAATGGTGAATGTCTTAACTCAAGTGTCAACATTCATACCATTTCTGCCCTTATTTTAACCAACACCTCAACTGGCACATAGGCCAGCAGCAAAAACTTGCCAGTTCTAAAGGAGTAGTCCTCTCAGTTTCTGTGCCCCTGTCAATGAACTAATCAATAATTGGAATGTTTTATTAGGTGGCATTGCCCGCATAGCTGAAGTCACTAAGAGGGACATTGAAGACTTTAAAGTTGCCAAGAAGATAAGGCAGAGAAGGGAAGTCATTTCTCTTTCAAATGAACAAGATATTGTTATGCTGACACGAGCTTTGATTCATCCATTTGGAAGCCAATTAGTGGCTGTGAAAAATCTTCTGAATGTGGTATCATTAAGGATCAAGCATTTACTTCTCCGTTAGATTATATTTCTCCTGTTCTAGTATCGGTGTACTTTCCTAGTGAAATATATTGTACGGTGAACTAAGGACGTTCTGTTCTGCGTCTTTTCATTACAATGTCTCACTAATGCTAGAAAAAATTTCCAATAATAATAGAAGCAAATAAAAACAGAACAAAGTCCACATTCAATTCACAAAACATATGACCTTGTTCAGTTTCTTTTCCTATCAGACACTACAAAACATCACGCTCTAATGAATGTAACAAAATGTCATGTTATGGCAGATTGTATGACAAATATACGCTCCGGATAAGCCTCAGGTCAGCCCTTCTCCGCAGCGCATATTTCTCATACAACTGCAATTTCCTTTTTTTTCCGTTTTTGTTCTTCTTCTTCTTCTTCACCTCCCCATCCGAAAGGCGGGAACTGCCTTGAGTGGGTGTCGGTTGTCCAAGGAGTCCAAATCTTTCTCAATATATTCATTTTCCATCTATCGGTGCAGCAAAAATGGCGAACAACGGTAAGATATAAAAATTTATCGATACACAACGTAGTCTGATAATGACGCTGACCGTTTATGCCATAAAGAAATAAAGTAGCGAACCTTAGCCTCTCAAGGTGCAAATCATTACTCGATTTGGCCATATAATTTGACTATAATGGACTGATTAGCACAAGATCATATCTTCATGATATCGGGGAGAGTTTTCGTTCTGCTAGTTTCAAGTTATTCAGTTCATCGGGTCACCTTTATGAAATTTGACTTTGACTGACTTTGAAAGAACGCAGTGTCAATTTGCCCAATTTAGGTCCCTAGGATCATCATAATCTTGAAAGATCTCCCGAATGGTATGGCTATGTGTGTTATTACTGGATAAATTTTCTGTTTCAGGACTACCTCCAGTCAGGGTGAAGGCGGTGCATGTTCACCTCTCCAGCTCTACCCCACGTAAGTTTTTCTGTGTATGATTCTCCATATCACTTGATCATTCCCAACTTACACAAAATCAGGGCTTTCCGTGAAGATCGAATGTGACAAATAATGATAAATTTAATCCACTTCTTATTTTAATGTAAAATATTCTTCTATTACCGCCAGCATGTCCCAAAGGTCTGTGTTATGAACCAATAAGTGAGTGGTTCATCTAACATGGACTGATGTATGCATGCGCCTTTTCTGGTCACCCAACCCTTACAACAAGTGTCGAAGAAAATTTTTTTCTACTCCGTCAACTAGCCACGCATATAGTTTTGTTTTGTACTGACCATACTTCTTGGAGTAGTTCTTTGTGGTCCATGTGACAATGTAACAGAGAGATATTTCAAATATCTACCAACTTTCTTAAATCGTTTACCTTAAAGTGGTAAAAAATGGAGAAAAAACTAATTTTTGCAATTAAATTGTAAAGTTTGCTCAGTGAAAACAAAAAAAAATTCAAATAATGCTCTGTTACATTGAAGTATAGGGGTTTAGGTAACTCCACAACAAATTTCAGATCATTCCGTCAAAAAACTTGGCGTGGCTGATTTTTCTACAAAACGCTTAATTTCAATTAAAAAAGCCTACTGTGGCTAAATGGATGGGCAGATTTGGTTAAACGCCCTAAAGTTTCAACCACCACAGCCAAGTGGTATAGAAGTTTCCATTTTCACCCACACCTCACCTTAAAAGAGCTTGATAACAAGGCTATCTTCAACCTACGGTTCTAATTTTATAGCTGCTCTGTTTTCCACTTTATATTTTCTCCCACATCTCCCTAAACTGAGTGATAAATATTTTGTGTTTACCTCTAATAAATATTGTTTATTTGTGTTCAGGCGGTCTTGAGAGAGTGGCTGCCATCCTCCGCGCCCTCCAGTCCATGTCCCAGGATGAGGCAGCAGCTCCAATAGAACCAGCTCCTGTTGAACCGGCTGAGGAGGCGCAGAGCTGCTCGATCTGCCGCAGTAACAGTGCAGATTGTAAACTCCCATGCGGCTGCACCTATCATCGTGCATGTATTACTCCTTGGCTTATAAGCAACAGCACATGTGCAGGACCCTACTGTGATTCATTTTATGTGCCTGATGACCTTCTTAACTTGTAACGTAGTCGTCCCTGCTGTTTTTTAAAAATTTGACTAATATGAATAGTCCTGAATATATATCTTAACAAACAAAATATGGTCGTAATTCTTGCAAAATTTGCCTTGCCTTACATATTTCCTACACTTTAGTTGGTGGCTGAAACTGACAAGTTCAGTGGAATTGTGCGTCCACCAGCTCAGCAAAGCATAAGCGCGCAGAACTATAGAGAATTAAACAAACGCAGCCTTTCAACAAATGCATTAAACTTGAACAAACATTGTAATAAAGAAAGCAAGGAAGTAAATTTTAAAAAATTATTAAAACACTATCTGGTACTTAGCGCTACAACTTCAATGACAGGCTGTTTATTTTTCACAACACAACATCAGCTGGGGAAAATACTACAGTGACAATTCTTATTTCATAGTCTGCTTATTAGTATTTAATTGAATTAATACTTCGGCCTCAACTCACATGAAATCAACAAGCCTCAAGACAGGGCAGCTACTCCGAGCTAAAAGTGTTAAGTACAGAGCCCAGATAGACTTCATGGTTCCTTGATGACAGTGAGTGAGGTCAGGACTCACTCCTCTCTGAAGGCGAGGCGGTCACAGTCCAATGCATAATTAAAAGGCCTGATTAAAAATTCAGATTACAAATTAATCGTATTAGGGAAGAGGTCACGAGTAAGCTCATAGGTACCATTTACACTACAGCCCTAGGGCACGCGCGCCATGTCATGTGATTATTTTGTTTCAGAACGAGACGCACTACTTAAATAAAATGGTACCTGAAAGGTAGATGCGTGAGCAATATTAACTTGAACAAAACGGGCCGTTTTAAAGAGGCCCAATTTTTGTGGGGCGTACAACCAAATGTTTACAACGCGCCAGTATGAGAATTTTTGAGGCCGCTTCCCAGTGCCCGGGGAAACTGGGACGCTGCGGTCGCAGTGTCCTGGGAGACTGACAGTGCCGTGCGGAACTGGCGTTTCCTTGGGACGTAGGTGGCCAGTACACGCACAAGCCTGGTCCATAAAAAAAGAAGATCCCTCTCCTGGGACCTAGTACTTTCCTTCCCAATGAGCAGTCAGTTTCGGAGTGCCTGGTATCTCTTCTGAATCCGACCCATCATTAAGGATATCTACTGAAATGTATTTGTGTATCTGTACAAAGAGCCACCTTGCCCATGAAGACAAAGACTAAATGACTTCAAGTGATGAGCCATGACGTCTTGCCTCCTCTGCATTTCACTGGGTGTTAAGACAACATCACTATCCAAATACAAAGTAATGGAATTCAACTGCGGTATGTGGAATGTCATTAGGAACTGACAAGCCGTTTCAAGACGTGTGTGTTAGAGAAAGAAGTTCCACTGAACTTGTCATCTTCAGCGACAAAGTGAAGTATTGGAAAATATTGGGCAAGACAAATTTAGCAAGCATTACATAAAAATTTGGATTTTCAAGAGTATAATTCAAAACAAAAAGGGGTTGCACATCAACAGCTTTGTTAAAAAGACTGGAGTCAACATCATTAAGATAAAAATTAAAAATACAAGTTGAAACTAATTAAAGCTCACAATATTGTTTAGGTTGTAGGGCGTGCACACCCAGCAAAAAAGGACAGAAGGGGCTCAATAGCTTCGTTAAAAAGACTGGAGTCAACATCATTAAGATAAAAACTGAAAAGACAAGTTCAAACAAATTAGCTCACAAAATCGTTCAAGGTTGCAAGGCGTGCACACCCAGCAACAGGACAGACAGGGCTCAACAGCTTCGTTAAAAAGACTGGAGTCAACATCATTAAGATAAAAATTAAAAATACAAGTTGAAACTAATTAAAGCTCACAATATTGTTCAAGGTTGTAGGGCGTGCACACCCAGCAACAGGACAGACAGGACTCAATAGCTTCGTTAAAAAGACTGGAGTCAACATCATTAAGATAAAAACTGAAAAGACAAGTTCAAACAAACTAGCTCACAAAATCGTTCAAGGTTGCAAGGCGTGCACACCCAGCAACAGGACAGACAGGGCTCAACAGCTTCGTTAAAAAGACTGGAGTCAACATCATGAAGATAAAACTTGAAAATACAAGTTTAAACTAATTAAAGCTTACAATATCGTTCAAGGTTGTAGGGCGTGCACACCCAGCAACAGGACAGACAGGGCTCAACAGCTTCGTTAAAAAGACTGGAGTCAACATCATGAAGATAAAACTTGAAAATACAAGTTTAAACTAATTAAAGCTTACAATATCGTTCAAGGTTGTAGGGCGTGCACACCCAGAAACAGGGCAGACAGGGCGAAGTTGAATAAACGGCAAGACGCAAGCACGGCACACGAACATGCCGCAGCTCCTCAGCACACTATCAGCCCTCAGCTGGTTGCACATCCGACAAGGCGGGCGCTGAGGAGCAGCAGCTTGGGCAGACTGCATTGCTTGCATAGGTTGAGCAGGCTGCATTGCTGGACCAGGCATAGGTTGGGCAGGAAGCATAGCTGGACCAGGCTGCATTGCTTGGGGCAGTGCAGCCGACAGCATGTTTCTTAACTCCGTCTCTGCCCTTGTGGGCCTGCCCACCCGCCGCCTTGGAGAAGGAGTGTCTAAAAGGAGTAAAGAAGTGCATGTAAGGTTTTGGTGCCACTACCCTTGACTAAAAAAATTCAGACAATATGAACTCACTGTTCTGCATGAACTGATGCAGCAGGTTGGGGAGCTGTGCCTGCAGATGGCCCTGGGGGCCCTGCGCCTGAAAGTTGGCAAGCAGCTGGGCTTGCATCTGTTGTTGCAATTGTGGGGCCTGCTGGTTCATTGGGGCCTGCTGGTTCATTGGGGCCTGCTGGTTCATTGGGGCCTGCTGGTTCATTGGGGCCTGCTGGTTCATTGGGGCCTGCTGGTTCATTGGGGCCTGCTGAGGTAAAAGTTGAGCTCCTGAAAAATTCATACAGGGTAGAAAAGTGTCCTTTGAAATGACTATGACCAATCTTAGAAATCAATGAACAGAAAGAAAAGCTTACCATTGGCAAAGAGGCCACTCAGCAAAGCCCGTGCTTGGGCCATTCCAGCTGCAACACAAATGTCAACATAAGGGGTGAATCAACTAAGAGAGCTTCAATAATTGGAAAAAAAGTTCAAGTATATGCAGAAGGAAGGCACATCGCCCATAAAGGTCTAGAGCAGAGCAATTCAATTTGTACATGCTGTGGCTTCATGAGTGTACAGATTGAAATACAAAAACACAAAATCCTTTCTCAACTAACACAAAAGTATCCCATAATTTTTTTAACTTCACTCGCCAACTTATGTACGAAATCGACCTAGTCTCAAAACACACCTAAGAGGTTTTTCACCATATTTTGCCCACAAGCCAGCACATTTGTGTGGGTAATATTCAATAATTTAGCCACAGTGTTCCATGAAGAATGTTGTAAGGAATGGAACACCATGGCTCAAATATAAAATATCGCGAACAGAAAAGCGCTGGCTTGTGGGCATAATACAAAAACAAATCTTGGAAAGAGTTCTACGAGCACTTGCTACAGAAGTCCAACATTCAACTTCATGCGACAAAACCATTTGACTAAATAGAATGGGTCTCAGCAAACACCGGTGAGACAGGCTGAAGTAAAACTTTATCTCACCTTCAGTATCCAGATCAATGTGAATGTTGACATGGGTCTCCTGGATTGCCTCGACGGGCGCGTTGCTGGCAGCAGCAGCACCCATCGGGTCGTCGGCTGGCGGATCTGAAATTCGGATAAAACTGTGAGTCCCGTAAACCTGAAACGACAAGGCACGTGGCTCCGGGAACGGCTTTAAAAAGTAAGGTTATGATCACAAGTTTTCTGGACCATCAACCGGCTAATAA